CATCTCTCCACCTAGCAGTGCTCTAGACATCGTCTTAGATGTTGGCTACACCCATGGTGTCCCTGCCCCCCAGGAGCCCGTGCCCCTGTGCCATGCCCCTGAGTACCTGTTGTGCAGCTGCTTGGCTGCTTGCACAAAGCAAGGCTGGTCTGTTTCCTTAAGTACTTCCTGGGCATAGCCCACCAGACCTGAGCCATCCAGCAGGCTCCGGTGCTCCTGGATCTGGGCGCTGAGACGGGCCAGCCGCTCCTGCTGGCATTCTTCAATGGCCTGAAGCAGTGATGCCCGCTTCTCCTCCAGCACAGCCCCCAGCCCCCGCACCAGCTGTGACACCTCCTCCTTGGCCTGCTGACCACTCACCTGCCCAGGGAGCAACACCCAAAGAACGTGTGACTTACTGTCTTCCTTTTGGAGTCAGCACTGTGCCAGCCTCCTGGGACAGCATAGCATGGCTAGGATCACAAGGGTTCTGGGGAAATCCTGCTCACCTATTCCAATAGGGCCAGGCTCATGGCTGCAAAGGCACCTATGCCCCAAGTTGGGCTCTACTACTGACCATTTTTCTAACCCTCCTGGATGCCCACATCATAATCTCAATCCCTTAAGGACTCACCCAAACAAAAGAAGCCATGGCTGCATTAATATCCACTTGGACTGCACTAATGTCTCCTGGCATCTATGCCATCCTTATTTGTCCATCCCCATGTCAGCCAACTCAAGCAATCTGGCAGAAGCTATCAGAGCCATCACCTCATGCTAGCTCCAGGAATGTGTACCATCCTTAGTAGGCAACTGAGCCTGAGAGCATCTGAGTGACATCTGTGGGCTTCTGAGTTCTCTGTCCTAAGCTATAGCTACCCGCCCCTCCTGCAGCCCCAAGTACAGCCTGGCCTGGGGGACTGGGGTTCTTGCCAACCTGGTTTAACCAGAACCTGGACACACCTCGCCTTGTGGGCTTCCTGAGGTTGCACTGAAGTGACTGGGCCATGCCCACCCACACCCCCTTACTGCCTCCAACCCCAGGCAGGGCCCAGGGCCTACCTCCATGCCCTCCCTCACCTCAGTGTGCCTCACAGTCTCCTCCAGCTCACAGATCTGGGTCTGTACCGTGTCCTGGTTTCCCAGGATGTATGTCAGGCTCTTTGTCAGCTTGTCCTGAGGGGGAAGAAAGAGGTGGGCATCACGCCTGGCTCTGCAGAAGCCAGCAGTTAGGAGGAGGTGCAAGAGGGTGAGAGTGTGAGTTAGCACGGGAGTTGGATGAGGAGGGGTCCTCACCTTGAGGGCCTGGTAGGCGCTGAGCACTGGTGTGATCTTGTGCCCGCTGTGGGTGCGCCGCACCCGGCAGAGTTGGCATACCAGCCGTTGGCATGTCTTGCAGTAGTGGGTCACCTCTTCCTTGTGGTCTGGGCACATAAGGCCCTAGGGACACAAAGAGCAATGAGGCATGTGTAAGGGTGCTATCTACCAGGAGAGCAGCATGGTGCCGTCCCTCTCCACTGGCCAGATGTGAGTGGAGAGATCACTCAGTGGTGCTCCATAGTGCCACCTGGTGGTACACACTGGCACCAAGGAGAGCCTTTCCTGCAGTCTCTGGCAATGCCCATTTGACCAGGTTGCTCTTCCCTTCATCTACCTCACCGGGATGTGTGGTAATAATAATAATAATGGTGATAATTAATCTTAGGCTTGTGGTTAATAATTCACCTTGTTCGTGTTGTTCACTGCTGTATCCCTAACACCTGGAATGGCACCATGCACATAGGTACTTGATAAATATTTGTTCAATGAATGAATGCATACAGATATTTTTAGTGTACAGATAATACTTTTTAGTGAACAAACATTATTTCATGTGATTCCCTCAACGACCCTGCCAATGTATATATACTGCAGGGCAGATACTACCATCCCCCTGCAGTAGATGAGATGAAGGCCCAAAGATGAATGATTTGTGGTAACTTTGTTACAGAGAAAGATGCTTGGCAGTGGCAATCTCCTGCCTACCTCCTTTTGGAAGCCCATAATGCCAGGCACCCCCACTCGCCCAGTACCACCATGTCCCTCCCTCTGTAAGGGCCAGCTCACCTTGGGGCGGAAAGAGAGGGTGGGCAGGGTGGGCTCATGCTGGGCCTTCTGGGTGCCCCAGGGGTGGAAGAGCTTGAAGCACTCATTGCAGAAGGTGGCTCGGCACTCTGTACAGCCCTTGGTGGCCTCTAGTGGTGGGGGCTTGCACAACTGGCACAGGATGGCGCCTCCCACACTCACACTCTGGCGGTACCGCTCCACCACACGCTCCAGGGTCAGGTTCCGGAAAAGCCCCGCCAGGCCCCGTTCCCCCAGCTCTACATCACCCTGGCAGGCTGGGCACGGGAACATGATCACCTGGGGGTGCAAAGCACCTCGTTTCCGCCCGGGGTATGTCCCAAAGCCTGTGGATGAACCAGGGAGGTAGATGAGGTGAGAGGTATAGCTGGCCAGGGGCAGAGGAAGTCTGTTCAATTAAAATTAGATTTTTATTGTGCCACAGCTCAGCTGTCACTAGAGTCTGGATGAGCAGTATCTCCACCCCCAGAAAGGCAGACAGATGCCCCTGACTGGTGAAAGACCCCTTCCATCTTCCTGCTGAGCAGCCCAGCATTCCCACCCCTATCCCACAGGCCCCAGCCCCACCTGATTTAAGGAGTCGGTCCAAACGGTCTGGCTTGGGGAGAGTCCTGCGGGAGAGTCGGGGGCTGCGGGTGGAAGGGGTGGACGCAGGAGAGGTGGGCTCGGAGCTAGGGTCCCCACCATGGCCTATGTAGCCCTGCTGGCCCAACACCTCCCGGGCACAAGCCTGGCACACGTTGTGGGTACAGGGCAGCACCAACGGCTGCTTGTACATCTCTTGACACACTGGGCACAGCAGTTCCTTCTCCATGTTCTTCATGCTCGTCTGTGGAGAGACCAGGAGGCTAGGTAAGAGCTTGGACACTTAAGTAATGTAAGCAAGCCCCTTGGCTGCCCTTAGGGGGTCTTAGGAAGGGGCAAGACAAGCTACCTAGAGCTTTTGTCAGCACCTGCCCTGATCTGGTTCACAGACCTTCCCAGGCCTCAGACCTTACTCTCTGTTTCCCTCCTGCAGAGCTAAAGGCCCAGAAGAGGGATGCCTGGAGCTGGTGCATCCCCCATCCTCAAGCCCCACCCCCATCACTCCGACAGCAGCAGCCCCACCTGGCAGCTCCCCTCACCTGCCTCCATCCCGCCATCTCTGGGCCTTCTGCCTCTCGCATTTTTCTCAAGGACACCGCCCATTCTGCAGCTCTGTGCGGACCCCAGCCCCCTTCTCTAGCACTCCCCCACCTCGCGTCTGACGCCTCCCGATAGCCAGGCGCTGCTAGCTCTCCATCCTCCAGCTAGCCCCATCCGTCTTCCTACCGCGTCTCAGGCCTGCGGCTGCCCCAGCCTCCATTCCCCATCCTTCACTTCCCATCCGTCTCCTCCAGTCCCTCGATACCAAACCATGCCTCTTCGCCCCCCACCATCCAGCCCTCCCACCCTCTTCCCCAGCGCAACCCGGCCAGCGGCAACCCCCTCTCCAAGCTAGGGGGGAACCAAGCGCCCCGCCTACTCGCCCCCTCCCCACCGGAAGTACCCCTCCCCCTTTTGGTGGCGGGGGTCCTTAGGCTATGCCCCACCCCCACACCTCACCTTGGTCCCTCTCTTCGCAGCCATCCCGGTCAGGGGCGCAGCTGACACAAAGGAGGGAGGGACAGGGAGGGAGGGGGAAGGAAGTGGTGGGGGGGAGCAGGGTTGGCACCGCCCCTGGGAGAGCCGGGCATGGGTTGCCATGACAACCGCAGGCTCGGAGGCAGCCTTGAGTGGGGGTGCGGTGGGGTGGGGTCTCGGGGAGGGGTCCAAATTGGGACCTGCACCCTGGGAAGTCTCCTTCATCACCCTCCACCTGTCCTCAGTTTTCTTGGAAAATATCCAAGCTCACACATCCCCCTCCTCATAGGAAACATAGCGCCTTTCCCCTAAAGCCCCAGCCCTGATGCAAAGCTGGCGGCTACCCCAGCCCACCCGCTGCGTCTGGGCTGCTCGCAGCTCCTCACACCCCAGGAGACCGACGCCTTCAAATACTCACCTCCGGGCTGCACCTGGGATTACCCCTCTCATACCTGCATCCGGACCCTCCCATCACTAGCCCCCTGTCTACATCCCAGCATCCTCCTGGATCCCCACCTGTTCAAGGTGCCAGCTTGCCCCAGACCCCTATGCACACCCTCCCCTTCCCCTCGACCCCACCTTAACTCACACTGATGCGGACTAGTGCATCCATGATGGAAGTGAAGGTCTGCATATCCTCACCCTCAGCCATGGCCCTACCGTGCCCGCCCGCCCCCGGGTGCCCGATCCTGGCTGCGGCTGCGAACCCCGGGCTCAATGCAGGAGCCCAGTGGGGGTGTGGGGAGGGGTGGGGGTGAGGAGTCACTGCGCATGCTCCAGGGACCAGCCTCGAACAGTGCCCGTAGGGGTAGGGGGTGGGAAATAGTTCTCCCCACGTGGTTCTTGACGGGCGGTGGGGGGGTTGGGTAACATGGAAGGGTATTTGAGGATGGAAGCATTTCTTATATTCTTATTTTTCACTGGCACCTAATCTTTCTCAAAACGAGAGGTTAGTTTCAGAGGAAGATGGGCTGTGGGTAGGAGCACTACATTTTGGGTTGGGCAAGAGTCCACGGGAGATGTTGAGCCAATGATCATGGGGCAAGGAGGTTTGAGGAACATGCCCTGGAGTTGACATAAATGGAAAAGAAGGCAGAGGTGGGCTATTGGCTAGAGGCCATGGGCCCAACGACTTGAAGAAATAAGTACAGCTTGTACAGAGTGGCAGCAGATGTACGGGATACGGGGAAAGCCTGGGGACCAGGGCGGTGGCTGAGGATGTTCTTCAACGCACTATTTCCTCCCTACCGGAAGAGGGCGCTGCGTCCACGCGCCGAGAGAAAGAAGACATGGGGGTGAAGCAAAGCCGTGTTGGGCGCTGACGCATGCGCACAGCTAACTGCACCCGGTTCGGCTCCCCTTTCTTGGTCAGAGGCGCCGATTGGACTCAGGGCCGGGGCATGATGGGTAACGGGACCGGTGGGCTCCCCGGGACAGGCTAGCTGGGGCTGGAGTTGGGGCAGGCAAACTTTCCTGGTCTTCCCCCGGCAGAGCTGACGTGTCCTGGGTCCCAGGAAGAGGGCATTCCCACCGGACGGGAGGGTTCGGGGCGTCCGGGGCTAGGGAATACCTGGGGGTCGCCGCGGGGTGTGGGGAGTTCGGGAGTGTGGCTGCAGTCCCGGGAGTGCTTGGAAATGGTCGGCCCACCCAGCTCCGGGAACGGCCGCCTCTGCAGTCGCTTCTGAGCCTGACTCTGTCCCTTCTTTCTTTTCCTCCAGTGGTGGGTACGGGCACGTCGCTGGCGCTCTCCTCCCTCCTGTCCCTGCTGCTCTTCGCTGGGATGCAGATGTACAGCCGCCAGCTGGCTTCCACCGAGTGGCTTACCATCCAGGGGGGCCTGCTTGGCTCCGGCCTCTTCGTCTTCTCTCTCACTGTATCCTTCCTGCGGCGGGAGTAAGAGGGCCACGTAGGCTTATGCTCTTCCTTCCCCACACAGTTTCTCCGTTGCGTGCCCTGTTCCTTAACTTACTCAACCCAGGCCTTCAATAATCTGGAGAATCTTGTCTTTGGCAAAGGATTCCAAGCAAAGATTTTTCCTGAGAGTAAGTGAAAATTAGAGGTTGAGTATTTGAACCTTCTTCTCTTTAACCTCCCCTAAAAATGATACTGAATCTCCAGGTGCTTAGGTGGTAAAGGTTGTTAAGGAGAAATATGTTTACTAAAACTATGTGAAAACAGAATACACTTTTGGATCCAGCACTTTATCTGGCTCCTGGAATTGGAGCTGGAAGAGAAGGCCTGTGAAAGCAAGAAACATGGTTAGCTTCTGGCTGGCTCCCAGGGAAGGTTTGAGGGGAACAGGCAAATTTGGGCTGATGTTTTACATCCATCCAAGGGAAGGTGTTCTTTTTCCCCAACAGAAGAAGCAGCAGGACCAAGTTCACTGATGTGAAATTGACCCAATAATGGTGAATTCTGTTTATTTGAGAGGATTGTGAAGAGCCTAAGTATGAGATACACCAAATTTCTATGGCAGCAGGAATCCTGACCAAATTAGAATAATTTATATTATTTTCTGTTTGGAATAATCCTTGTTAATTGCTTATTTAAGTGAGAATTGATGATTTAGTTATTTATGGAGAATTAAGTTGATAAAGCAAATTAGGCATCAAGGCCAGATCACCTAAGGAATGCCACATGCTCAAGAATTCACAGCAGATGCAATCTCATGTGAAACCTTCATCTGGTAAAACAAAGATCTATCCCTATTGCCCTTATTTCTTTGCCCCAGTCTAGGTCTAGGTCTCTCCACCTAGCCCTGTTATAGGCTTCCAGAGCTCCTTCCAAGCAGTAGCCCCAGGACTTCTCTCTGTCAGATTTTATTTCCATGTGTATTGTCTTCACTTGCGTGTGAAAGAAACCATTTTTGTGGAGCAAAGTTTTGGGCCCTCTTTGCCTTCCCTGCCCTCCACAGCTGGGCAGGTGGGGCCCTGTTTGCCCTTGTTTTCTGCCCTCCCACCATCTCTCCCATCCTATTCCAGATGTCTTCAGATCCTTTCTTGCCTCCATTGACAAGTATATCCGGATGTTTTGCCCTCCAACCTGTGTCTAGGGAGAGAGACCCTCAACTTCCACCACTTGTCAGCCAGCTTAATGAATTGATTTTCATTGGCTGCCTTCTGTTGGAAAGGTTTTAATCCTCTTCCCCAAATGGAAGCAAGCCTTGCCCTCAGGCTCTGCTATCACTTTTCCTTTTCCTTTTTACAGGAGGAAAGTCAGCATAGGGAAGTTAAGTGCTACTTGGGGCCGAGCTGGTAAAAGGCATGCATCTCCCACCTTCGTGTCCTACGACATCATTAAGGCCACCTCCTGCTGTTGTCTTACCCTTCTAAGAAGGTTACCCAAGATTCAAAGAGCCATAGGTTTCTCCTAGACTCCACATACAAATGCCTGGTATTTCTATTCTGACCACTATGCTCCTTGTCTCTTCTTGCCTCCTTAGTTCTCCTCTGCCTCCTGTTGGCTCTCTTTGCATCTGGCCTCATCCACCGAGTCTGTGTCACCACCTGGTATGTATCTGACAGCTGGGTAAGTGGTGCAGCATCCCTGTTCTTCGGCAATGGATCCTACTGTGTTGGTGTCAGACCTTTTCCCCCACACTTACCTCCCCTCTGTTTTCCCTCTTTTGCCCTTCCCCATTTTCCTAAACCTGAGCCTGGGTCCTTTCCCCCTAGGGGGCACCGTGCTGGCAGCACGCCCAATGATGCCATGACCTTTCTGTCTTCACCCTGCAGCTTCATCTTCTCTATGGTTGGTCTATACTACATCAACAAGATCTCTTCCACCCTGTACCAGGCAACAGCTCCAGTCCTCACACCAGCCAAGGTCACGGGCAAGGGCAAGAAGAGAAACTAACCTTGAATGTTCAATAAAGTTGATTCTTTTTAGCTCTGTGAGCTGTGATGTGTTGTTAGCCTCATCTGCCAGTACCTGCTTGGGTGTGCAGAATGTTAAGACTGTTGGGCACCTACTCTTTTCAGACCTTGGGATAGTGAGCCTTTCCTTTCTTCAAGATACTTTTTTTTTTGAGACAGTCTCACTCTGTTGCCCAGGCTAGAGTGAGTGCCGTGGTGTCAGCCTAGGTCACAGCAACCTCAAACCCCTGGGCTCAAGCGATCTTCCTGCCTCAGCCTCATGAGTAGCTGGGACTACAGGTGTGCACCACCAAACTGGCTAATTTTTTCTTTTTCTTTTTTTTTTAGTAGAGATGGGATCTCACTCTTGCCCAGACTGGTTTTGAACTTCTGAGCTCAAGGGATCCTCCCTCCTTGACCACCCAGAGTGCTAGGATTATAGACATGAGCCACTGCACCTGACCCCAAAATTCATTTTTACCAAGCTTTTAAAAATACTTTTTTATTTTATAGAGACAGTCTTGCTCTGTTGCCCAGACTGGAGCACAGTGGCCTAATCATAGCTCACTGCAACCTCAAACTCCTGGGCTCAAGTGATCCTCCTGTCTCAGCCTCCCTAATAGCCGGGACAACAGGCACGTACCAATGCACCGGGTTCATTTTTACCAAATATTTATTTATTGAGTACCATCAGTACCAGGAATAGCATATACTTGTGTGAGAGTCTAATCATGGAAGAAAAGTACATGAATGATCTGTAGTCTTGACCTTTGGGGAAAGGGTAAAGGCTGCAGCGCAGGAAGGCCTTTCTGTCAGAACTGGACGGAATCTTAGAACAGAAGAGTAAGGCCCCTCACCCCTACTGTTCCATGGCGTTCCTTGCAGGGGCTTTGTTATCCCAGCTACCCACCCTGAGCACCTGAGCCCTCTGCCCCTTCTGCTGCAAGTGGGAATTTCCTACTGGTGTTGCTTTTCTAGCCTCGTCTATTCTACCCCAGCACAAACATATGCGTATGTTTAGAATGCCTCCCCAGGTTGGTCACTGCCCCTAACCTCTTTGTTCTGGTACCTTCATTTTTTCCCCCTATCTTATAGCCAAAACACTAGGAACTGCCTGTGTTTTAGCCAAGTATATGAAATGTTATAAAAAGGAACAGGGACACCATCTTCGCAGCCATCTTTGATGGAAATGGGGCAGGTAGCTGCTCGAGTCCTGCCCTATCTGTGCTCTGTCATGAGGAGCAACTCTGTCCAGAGTACCTGTCCTTTGGAGGCACCTAGGCCCCCTATCCCCTACTGGGTGGTGTGGGCTTTACGGTGTACACTGCCTCTTGGTCAGCTTCGTATTTTCTTTTTCTTTTTTTGAGACAGGGTCTCGTTCTGTAACCTAGGCTGGAGTGCAGTGGTGTGATCATAGCTCAGTGCAGCGTTAAACTCCTCGGCTCAAGGGATCCTCCCACCTCAGTGTCCCTAGTAGCTGGGACTACAGGCACATGCCATCATGCTTAGCTAAGTTTTAAATTTTTTGTAGAGACAAGGTCTCACTATATTACCCAGGCTGGTCTCAAACTCCTGGCCTCAAGTGATCCTCCTGCCTTGGCCTCCCAAAGCACTGGTATTACAGATGTGAACCACCATGCCTGGCCCAGCTTTGTATTTTCCACAGTGCCTGATAAGGGACAGTAAAGACTGGTAGGTTGGCTGAATGAAAACCTGCCCTTCAGAACAAAATCCTGTACGTGGGAGGTGCCTAAGATAGGGAAGAAGACCTAATAGAGCTGAACAAGTGAGTCAGAGGAGTTTTGGTCAAGGATTAGAGGCCATCCAACCCCACTCCCTTCTTTGGCCAGAACTCCAGATCCTTGCCTCTCTATAACCTGGCTGAGGGAGGGCTAGGAAGTTTATCCAGGATGCCTGCAGAGGGCGCTATGAGCTCACATCTTTCTCCTGCAGATAGAGCAACACCCTCCCATGCCCGCCAGCCATGAGGGCTGGGGAGGAAGGTTGTACCTGGGTCTGTGTGTGGAAGCCAACCTTCTTGGAAAACCCAAAAACCTGGTCCAGTTGGGAGGCCTGAAGCCTGAATCAAGCCTTGTCTTCTCCCCCTAGGCTGGAAGTTGAGGCAGAGAGTTCAGTGGAGACCAGAGCCTCCCAGAGAGGATGGAAGTTCTAGGCTCCAGCTCCCCTAGTGATGGGCAGGGGTGAGAGGTGGAGATGGTGGTGAGGGGTGTTGTGATATGTGGGACCCTCTGGGAGAGGAAGGGGAGGTTGTCCAAAATAGGTCCCAGAGCTACAGGCAGGCTGGGTTGGTTCAAGGTCTCACCATCAAACCTTGACTTTCTCCTAACCTGGAGTGGGAGCAGTGGGCTGAGGGCCAGGTCCCAGTGGAGGTGAGCCCAGACACTGCCTGGGGATTCTGGGGATCTGGTCCGCTGAGGGCACCGTGCCTTCCACGGGGAGAGCTGGCATGGGTTGGGGCCAGGCAGCGAACATCACCACTTTGGCTAGGGGAGGGTGGGGAGAAGCTGGACAGCAAGTGCCAGGGCAGTGCCAAGATATCTAGGCACTTGCTGCCACCCACTGCATCAGCACCAGGGGCAGCAAGTGGCCCAGGAATAATAACCCCTTCCTCAGGGAATGGGTGCATTTACAAGGCAGGTTGGCGCCAACCTCCGCTCTCCACCCAGCCTATCTCTGAGTGCTTACTTGCAGGCTGCCTGCACCTGACCTGCCAATTAACCCTGGCAGGGGTATCACAGCCACCTAATCACCATCATTAAATGAGGGGGCATGAGGACTGCATGGCTCCCAGAGACCTGCGGCTGAGAAGGGCAAAGGTGCTAACTCTTGACTCTTGGAAGCCTGGGGCTCTGCTCCACCCCAGAGGCTATAGACCTGGGGGAGAGAGGGGAAGGTGCTAACTCTTGGCTCTTGGACCCCTGGAGCTCTGCTCCACCCAGAGGCTATAGGCCTGGGGGAGAGAGGGTCATCTCCACCGCTGGAGGACAGAGGGAAGCCAGATGTTTCCTCCTGCTCCCTCACACGTGGCCCTGACACCCGCCGGCACCCGCCGCCAGGTCCGGAAACAGGAGTAAATAATACAGGGGGAGGGGGCTGTGGACGCCAGTGCAGTTGGCGGCGAGGCGCCCTGCTGGCTCTTTAGGGCAGAAGGTGATGCCTCCAGAGGAGAGGGCAGTGGGAAGGTGAGACCCAGGGCAAGCAGGCTCCCTAACCCAGGCAGTAGCTGGACTCCCCTCAGACTGGCACTAGCATGAGGGACAAATGGCATTTAGGGCATGCCAATGGGTCAGGGCGGGGGCTGGGGGCGCCCGGGGCAGGCAGGGAGGGGGAGTCCGCGCCAGGCCTTGGCTCCAGCCCTTTCCGGCTCTTATTGTCCTTGGTGAGAACAGGACGCTGTCCCGTTCCCACTGCCTGGCCCCCCCAGCTTTGCTCCCCAGGGGCTCGGGAAGGATGTTGGGAAACAAGAGAGAGGCAGAGACCCGTAGAGACAGAGATGCTGAGAGACTCAGAGACAGATACAAAGGGGAAAGGTTCCATCAAAAGCAAGCACTGAAGCTCATTGTGAGCAGAGCGGGGCCTGGGCGCTGTGGGAACCAGGAAAGAATGGGAAGCCGGGAGGCCCTGCCCTTGGGGCCCTCCTGGGCTGGCCGGCCCAGCGCACACTCCTTGACTTAGGGTCACTAACTTCTGCCTCCTAAGCAAACAATGGTTGGCACCCTAGTATGGGCACAGTTGGGGGCACTTAATTGCTCCACTTTAGGTACATTTCTTAGCCTTCCGCCCAGCACACTGGAAGTTCCTCAGGGGGTAACACCAGGATCATGTTCCCAAATCCCACCCCCACCCCTCCCGGGGCTGAGAGCCAGCTGGCCACACAGAGGTCGCACTGTAGAAGCTATTGCGTTGAGTTCCTGCAGAGGCAGAGAGAGAAGTCCCCAGTTGGCCCTGGAGTTAGGCACCCCCATCACCTGCAGCAAAGGGCCAGGTGTGAACCCTTGTAGGCCTGGCCACTGATCGGAAGTGGAGTTTAGAGCATTCCCCTGTGTTTGAAGAACCAGCTGTTCCCACTGCAGCCTCTGTGGTGGGCCTGGGGCAGGGTGGGGAGCTCCTGGGCCCACAAGCCTCAGCAACTGCTCCTTTGGAGACAGGCCTCTAAAAGATGCAGACAGGTTAAGGTTCCTCCTATCTGTTGAGGCTCCAGACACACTTAAAAATGAAGAAAAATAGGCATATTTATATTAGTAGTTGACAAACTAACTTTTTTTATTTTTTTTGAGACAAAGTTTCAAAAAACAGAATCTGTTGCCCGACCTAGAGTGCTGTGGTGTCAGCCTAGCTCACAGTAACCTCAAACTCCTGGGCTCAAGCCATCCTCTTGCCTCAGCCTCCCGAGTAGCTGGGACTACAGGCATGTGCAACCATGCCCGGCTAATTTTTTCTATATATATGTTTAGTTGTCCAGATAATTTCTATTTTTGGTAGAGATAGGGTCTAGCTCTTGCTCAGGCTGGTCTCAAACTCCTGACCTCCAGCGATCCTCCTGCCTCGGCCTCCCAGAGTGCTAGAATTAGAGGCGTGAGGCCCAAGCTAACATTTTGTTAACACAATGTTACTATATATAATAGAGAGAGATAGAAGTGAGAGAGTTCCTTGGGGCAGTGCTAGGATCATACATATGTACACATACACACTATTGGTTCTGTTCTTCTGGAGAACCCCAATACACCCTGTTTTAGTAAAATGAAATGGAGTAAAATGAAAGAAAGATTAAAGTAACCTGTTCAAGATTATTTGCATTGATAAATGAAGGCAGAGCTGGAGTTCAAATTCAGAGCCACCATATTGCTTAACCAACATGGCTACTACATGGTTACGCCACACCATCTGGTCCCTGCCACCCCTCTGACCTCATTTCCTCTTCTCTTCTCCACACTCAGTCCATCCCACCCCCAGCCTCTGTGTGTTCCCCGTGCCAGGTACACTTCTATCTCTTGGCCTTTACACTGGCTGTT